GCACCTTTAGTGGAGATTACAAACTAATTTCCAAGCTGCTCATGTTTGTATGCACTGGACCAAAATTCAATACTTTTTAGCAACAGGTACATATCACCAACACATCTTTCTCTCTTTGATAGGGGAGCTCAAAATTACCTCCTTCTTAATCTTTCTCTATGTAGAAAGCTTTCTACATTTCTGTACAACCATTATCAGTTGGATGAGGTGTGGAAAAAGTTTAGAGATGGTGTGGTTATGGGCAATTTTCCTCATAACCAGTGGTACAGAAATCTCAAGAAAAGTGTATTCCCAACTGTCAAACATGAAAGCCTGCCAAAAGCAGTCAAACGACATGTTGCATATGGAAACAGAGCCAGTTGTGTGTAACAAGCATACAATTCCAATGATAAAATGTGGTCGCCACACTTCTGTAGCTCCTAACTCCACTAAAAATCATATCAGATCATTTCAATTTAAAATTTAATCAGGCTGAGATACAAATCCTGACACTGGAGTTAGATTTTTCTTTAAACCCCTACCAATGAAAAATTTTTGGCATCTTATTTATTTCAGCTTAACTCCTTTTCAAGAAAAGTAATTGCAATATCAAGCCTATTTTATCATTCATTTCATACTCCATCTTGTGTGCTTTCATGTAGGTAAACTTGGACCCTTCTTTGTTCCTCTAATAGTCTGGCCTCAGCCTGATAAAAACAATAAAACAAAAATATACAGAAATCAAATGAAAGTCATACATGTTTAAATTGTTTCACATCAATATACATGTACATGTGAAGTGTTATTTTGTTCATTTCAAGTTTCAAAATATAACTACAATCATTTATGACACTAAAATTAGACACAGCTCTCCTCTCTCACATACAAACACACACACACACACAAAAAAAGAAAACTGCTTAAAAATCAATAAGGTAAAAAAAGGTTAAACCTGCCTCCCCTCATATTCAAAGTAAAGGATTAACAGCTGCAACACTACATGTAGTACATTCAAACACTGATTATCCAGACCTCATTTATCTGTTTTTTTTTTCTTATACAAAATCTTTGGGTCCCATTTTTTATGAATATCAATTAATCACATTCCCGATCCATATAACTTTTTTCCATCATGCAAAGCACATGTAATGAAACTTCCATTGGTAAAGAATTTGTTCCACTTTTCAAAGCAATTGAATGCTTAGATAAATTTTTGCAAATAACTTTGGCCAATGGTAACAATTTATGTACCATGATTTGAGAATGTGCTTTAATTCCTACACAATGTTAATAGGTCCTTTAGGTTATTCAGTTTTATTTTGGCTCATCAATATTCATATTTTTACTATCCAGACTATTCAACACCATCTTCATGAGTCCAGACAATCGAGGTTCAACTGTAACTTTGATGAGAAGTTTGAGGATATAGAATGAAAGGATGATGGAGACATAGTAATTCAAGCCCACTGAGAAAGTCTCAAGTATGTGTACAGGGGCATCTGCAACTACTGTTAGTCAGTCACATACTACAGGAAATTTCTCAGAGAGCAATAATGAAGCTGAAGTATTTCCTACCAATAATCAGAATCCTCTAAAATAAAGGTAATAACACAAGCAAGAAGCTTACATGTTACAGTTTTAATTGATGCAACTCTACCTTTTTCATGTACTCTGTTACAGGGTTTTCCCTCAGAAATTCTGTACTTTCTGTTGTGTAAAATCTCTCTGTATCTTCCAAAAATACTGACTCAAAAGAGGCTTTGTAAACACTGAGGGTGGGTCCTCTTGCTGAAGGATCATCTTCATTCAGGCCAAGTTCAACTGTAAGAAGAAAAATTCATATATCTATGTACTCAACAAAACATGCTGTTTCTGATTGGTCAATGACGAAATCATGGCTGCAACCAAATAATCTTCATTCATCAGTGCAACTCCAGTAGTACATGCTGTACAACTGGATTAAAAGCAAACAGACACAAAATATACATGTACAACTTGGAAATTAGAATTAAACATGGACCAGCATCCTATTTCTCCTGACAGCAATACTGCTGAATCATTCAGTAAGATTGTGATAAGGGAAATGATAACGGACCTACAAAGCTTTGATTATTAAACAAATTCACCCTGTCAGTACCATAGGAAATGTATTAAGAAGAGCATGTAGAAGAGGAGTACCAATGTTGGTGTGTAAAGGAGTAATGTAACATTCTGCAGTGGAAAGTGAATATTAAATAAAAATTCTGTTTTATTTTCACTTTCCACTGCAGACTACAAGCATTTATTCAAATTAATTTTATCCATATTTTTCCAAACCAAATTAACTTGTCCTCACTGGAAACATCAGAAGGGTGTGTTTCAATAGTTTGCAAGGTGAATATATGTAAAGCAGTTTAAGGATTAATCCAAAATCAAAATGTACCATAACACTGGATCACTCCACTGACAAGTCTCGTGTTGATGGTTTCACCATTCCTTTCTCTCTCAATTAACCTCAGCACAGCATTTGTCACCTGTTAAAAGCATGGTAGTGATGAGCCCACTGGATAAAAAGGAACCCTGAACACTACAACAAGTATTGACACAAAGATAAGGAGACTGATGAGTTGTCAAGTCATTACCTGTCTGTTGAGTGGTCGGAATAGATTTTCCCTCCATGTTACTAGGGCAAGCTTAAAGTGGACAAGAACAAAATTAAATTAAGAGTAGTTGGTAAAAAGTGTCTAACCAGAACTAAATGATTTCTATGTGTACATATAAATGATAAACAAAAAGGGGAGAGAGTATCTGTGTATGTATGTATTTTGCATACACTAATACACAAATATTTTTTGTCTTGTTTCTATTTCACTTTGTGGTGTGGCCAGCCTCAAAAAGCTTTGATGTCATGTTTTTTATTTCTCATTCTAATGGCTTAGATCATCATATGTCAGGGATACATGAACCACATGTATGCTTGCACAACTGTACACACATAAAGTCAAGCAATTTCAAGATACTGGTACAGTAAACCAAAAAAAAAAAAGTGTCATAAAAATAAGGTGACATGAACTAGAGAAATGACACTAAAGCTGTAAGTGATAAAGTGATCCTTGTGGCCAAGTTTTTAATTTACGCAATTCACACAAATGAAGCCTGAAAGGTAAACTTCCTTTGACAATCTATATGTGCACATCTATATTGCTGATACTTACTGAATAAATTTCATATATGCCTTTTCTTCCTTCATCACACTCTCGGCGAACCCAATGTCGGTTGAGATAAGCGCATACCCCATTTAAAACTTTGCTTGAAAACCTATAATCCTCCCAGCGGTGGGTGTAGAATTTAAGGACAGACTCATCCATCAGATCAGCACCATCCTATCACAAACAGTCACAGTTTATCTCCAGTTATTTTACGGAAGACACCAAGGACTAGTTGATAGCACACTAGACTGCGGGTTCATAGGTCCAAGTGTTTTTGGTTTGTCATTGCATAGTGTTCCCTGGAAAAGACTCTTAGGTCTGATAAATACATGTATTCTATATTACTTTTCATGTATGCCCAAGTAAAAATAGTGTCAACAGTTACACTACATTAGGTCCAGGGAAGTTGGTACCTTCAAAACATAGAACTTGTAACTGTCCAAGTACACATACAAGTCCATGTGGAGCAAAGTTAATAGTACCATAATAGTTGCATGAAGAAACTAAACACAGACAAATTCATTAGTGCTGACCACATATAGTACCGCTCTAGTATACATAAGCCAAAAAACGCGAACAAAACGCCCAAAAAATCTGTATAAGGAAGACACCAGTATCTGATAGTGTCCAGTGCAGTTTCATGCAACAAGCACAACTGAAAATTAGCTGAAAACATGTCCTAACCTTCTGCATGCCTATAAGATAAGTCCTAAGGAAGTCTTTGAGTCTTTTATACAATTCAAGGCCTACAAACTGGGCTCCTGTGAAGAAATACAAACATTTGTTCAAACTTGGTTATATCTGGGACATAACTATAGTAAGTAAAAACACAACTATTTTGATTCACAGGACACCAGACAACATTGTTCAGAATCTCTTTTATCATAATTCCTGTTGTCAACATTGTTTGGAGATGAATCGGGGAGAGTCAATAACCTTAGAAAAAAAAAACTAGGTAATCCATAAAGCACTAAAAGATAAAGTACAGAGTACAGCCAAATTGCATGTGTTTTCCTGGCAGTAACCAAACGACTTATCGCAAAATTGTAAACTGTTCTTATGCGAATTCTACTTCTCTATTCTTAGCAAAATGAATGTAGAGTTACTAGATCAATCTAACAGTCCAAAAGTAAGGACCCTGACCCCTCTCCTATTTGGTGCAGTGCTCCAAGCTGCAACCATTTTCAATGTCATGGTGAGTAGAAAAAATTTTTGAGCCACAAATCAAGTCATAATATTGTTATTAATTCATATTTGCAGTCTATAGGTAATGGAGGAACATTTTCATAAGTGTTGTAATTGTTGTTGTAATTGTTGGATAGCCACCTTGGATAGCCACCTTGGATAGCCACCTTGGATAGCCACCTTGATACTCTCCAGTTTTCTATGAGTCTCTCCTGGTGGCTAACATTATCTTTCCATTTAAAGGGCACTTTGGCAAATTTCTGACCACATTAAATTTTGCAGAATTTGCAAAAAGTCTGGAGCCCCACTGACAGGTTTTTTTCCTGCTTCTTTCCCTGGATTGATACCTTTAGTGGTTTCTACTTTCAGGTAACCAAACATGTGCATGTGTCACACAAAGGTCCCCTGGGTATATAACAAGTGCATTTAGAGTATCTCATTCATGTATATGAGGACTAATATTAAAGCTTTCATGTAAAATAATATTCAGATGAGTAGCACAATCACCATACCCACTTCTGTAACATGTATGGAAAATGTGA